AGCTTAACTTCTCCTAATCTAAAGTTGCTGACTGTAACTATTTAATAATTTGTGCCTTTTGGGCTGCTTTCAGTTAACCATTAAGATACAAAAGCACCATTTCCCTTGAGAACAGAAGAAAAGAAGCCGGAAGGCTACTTTCCCCTGGAGGACAGGGAAGATAGAAAAATGTAATCCTTCCATCCCCAGCTTTGAAAACCCCCTTCCCACCCCAGGTCAGGGAGATCACTGAAAGGCAACAGTCATCAGACAAGGCAGTGAGATGCAACCTTTCACCTTAGAGGGCTTCGGTTAGAGGAATCATCTCCAGGAATGTCAGTGGGAGCCCAACATCACATGTTTGGCCTATGCAACCTCCCCAGATCAATGGCTTTTTAAGTCAAGTAAAGACAAGTAGAGCAGGATGGTTTACTCTGTCTTCCCGCAGTAGCATCCCTGTAGAAGAGTCCTGTACAACATTAACCACATAGTAGAGGGGAGCCTGGTAAACAGAGAAAGTTGCTACATTTATCTAAGTGTCTTTACCTTACCCCAGAAAAGAAATGTTTAGCCTTGCAAACTCTCAGGATGTAGCTACCCTTTCATTTGCCTAAAATAATTTGGGCATTGATTGGTCTTCAGTTCGGCGTTTTGTTTAATGCTTGTCATTAGCAGTTTTTCTTCTGAGACACTCTGAGAACTTTCAAGAATCTATACTGTTCAAAAAGAACGCAAGTTAGGAAAACAAACCTTCCAGGCCCTCCGGGGCACTTGACAGAGTGCTGAAGGAGAGCCAGCTGGGTTCCTCCCCTCCTGAGCCTCTCTGGCCAAAGCCTTCTGTGTGGTATGGTTGGAAGGAGATTCCTGAGCTCCTCTTGGGGATATCAGGGCACATGTTCAAGGCATCAGGGGCTTCTCAGATTGGCAGTGGGGGATGGGTGTGGAATTTGATGCTAAGGAAAATAAGTCCTCCGGAGAAGGGGAAGCATGATGAGAACTGTCTTCAACTGTCTGGAGAGCCATTCTGTGGAAGGCTGCACACCCCTGAACTCTGAGACTCCAGAGGATGGAATTGGGAGCAGCAGGCAGAAGTTGCACGGATAGTGATTCTGGCTCCATCTCAGAGAGGCATCGCTAATGACGAAAGTGATTCAGTAGGAAAGGGACTCTTTGCAGTAAACACCCAGTGGTTGTAATGCTCAAGTACAAGCCACGTGTGTGTCTAAGATGCTACCACAGATTGTGCTAGCCAGATAGACCGCTAGCATAGATGGCCTCTCTAAAGATCCTTCATATGTCTTAGTAATCTCCAGGAATACATGGGACATCATCGAATTTAAGAAGGCTCAACTTCATTAGGCTTCAACATGAAAAAGTCTGCTTACTGCAGAGCAAACCACTTTGGAATTCTGATTTTCCCTTCCTCCTTCAAGCTTGAAGCTTTGTGTATATGTCTTTTCTCTCGGGTGACATAGTAGGCAAGGCATGATTCTCCTCCACTGATTGGGAAACAAAGACTCCTACAATTTGTGACTTCCTGGAGGTCTTACTGAATTTATATAGGGCATTTGAAGCCAAACACCAGTTTCCATAGTCACAGCCCCACTCCATGACAGCCCATACAATACAAAGCATGCTCTATTGCTTTGGGATAGAAGCGGCACACTTGACCAATTTGGAAATCCTCTCACTGTGTTTAGATGAGGAGAAAATAGCATGTGAACTTTCCAAGTTCAAAGTCTATTTCCTACTGGGAAAATGAGACATCTGGTTCATAGTTAAATAAGATGGGTCCTGAGGGATCTTTGACAATGAATTGCTGTTCTAAATCTGCCTTTTAGTAATTTAAACATGCATGCTTCAGAAACATATGGATTGAATGTACAAAAACCTGAGGATGTTGTTGGACTGGTGGGCAATGAGGAAATCTTAGAATAATGGGGACAAGGGACTCTGAAAAGGCCGACAGTCTGTTCTGTCTTGCCCTTCCTCTACTTAGTTTGCTTCCATCACACAAGAAGTATGTGGTTCTCAGTACCTGCTGTGTTCTCGGCGCCTGTTATGTTGATTGACAATTAACAAAGCAAAGCAGATAAAGGGCCAAAAAAAAAAAATCAAGGGCCAAAAAATGTAAGATGGCTACATTATTTTGAAGAAGTCGCAATCCTATTGATCAAACATGGTCTGGTAATCCAAAACTATAAAGGATGTCCAGGGACCAGATTACTAACAGTGAACCCCATCACCTTCTGGAAAATGGAGCGAACTTCCTTCTACTGTGCACACTGATGATTACAATAGAGCATTGAAGTGAGAGAGAGGAGAGCAGGAGGTATATAAAATACTTAGACACAACCCAGCCAAATTATTTGCTATTAGCTGGATTTTATTATTGGTCTTCTGAGGATAATCTACTCTGCATTAAAGCTATCTGAAGCAAAGATGTGCCCACATCAAAAGCCTTAGAACTACCGATCCAGTCTCTCTGAGCATGCCTCTGTGTGGTGCATGTGTGGCTGTGTTCTTTGTGTGTTGGCTGAGTGCTTATCAATAGCAACGTATAAACACAGTCTTTCACTGCTCATAAGTCGGCAGCTTTGTAGCCAGACTGTCTGTCAGTCTTGGTGTCTGCCTACATGGAAAAAAGGGTCATGGTGACCCAAAACAAGGCTGTACCTAGTTGGCCTCAGAAATCAAATTCTTCTACAATTCTAAGGGGGCATAAAGTAGCCTGGTTGAAAGAAGAAACACTGGAAGATATTTCAGAACAAACGTTACACTAGAGGGCTGGGTCTGGTAGCACACACCTTTAATTTCAGCATTGGGGACACAGACAGATCTCGACAATTTCTAAACTAATCTGGTTTACATAGTGAGATCAAGGCCAGCCACAGCTATACAGTGAAACTCTGATTCAAAAGAAAGTATTGCCCTACAGTCACCGGATACAGTGGTTCACAACTATAATCCTGGCCTTCATGAGACGAAAGCAATAGGATCACTATGAGTTCAAAGCCAGCCTGGGCTACATAATGAATTTGAGATCAGTCTGTGAGAGCGGCTCAGAGGAAAGAAAGAAAAGAAAATTGTCCTAGAAATATAAGGACCTATAGCTATTTCTGAAAAATAATCTAGCAGTTTAGGAAGTATGAGCATATGTTTTTAAAAGGTGCTGCTAAAAATATAAACTCGAACTCTCTAAATAAAAAATATCGTCATTGTCTCCCCAGTGCCTGGTAGACGCACTTAAAAGACTCCACTTTAACTTCACACCCTCCGGAAGTCAGCAGACCAAATGAACCAATGTGCCTAGTCATAAACCACCTCTTTTTTTGGTTCCACACCTGAACTACACAGAGTGAATAGGTTTCTGCTGATAGAGCTCTATGCCTGATTTCATCACCCAAGCAAAGCCACTGTCCCTGGTACATCCTCCTAAGGAAGACATCCACCAGTGAGACAACTCCTTGGGCATGGGATCAGGGTACTGCACGTGTGTGAGGTCCCCAGTGGTGCAGGACAGAGCTGGGGTAAAAAGGAAGGAGATCGGGAGGTCGGATAGGGCCATGATGCCTTGGATGAATCTGTCTCTGCCTTCACATTTCTGAATCAAATTCAATCAAAAGTTTTGAATGTAGTGGGCCCATGGTGGTGTATGCCTTTAACCCCGGTACTAGGCATTTCAAGGACTAGGCATTTCAAGTCTTAACTGTTGTGGAATAATCTTTTTGTACATTGTGAAGATGTTTCTTTGCCAAGGTTCCTTCTGAATGGTTTAATAAAGAGCTGAATGGTCAATAGCTAGGCAGGAAGAGGTTAGGCAGGACCTCTGAGCAGAGAGAGAGGAGAGGAGATGAATCTAGGTGCATGGGAGAGAGATACCAGAGGAGACAGAGGAAACAAGACATGCAGGAGGAGAGGTAACAGCCATGAGCTACATGGCAGCACCCAGATTAATAGAAATGGGTTAAATTCAGTTATAAGAGCTAGTTAGAAACAAGCCTAAGATAAAGTCAAGCTTTCATAATTAATAAGAAGTCTCCATGTTGTTATTTGGGAGCTGGCAATACAAAGAAAGCCTGCTGCATTCAAGTACGTAATGAGTTCCAGGTCAGCCAGAGCTACATAGAAATACCCTATCTCAGAATATTTTGAATGTGACCCTGGACTTCCAAAGCATTTGAAGATATGTTTCACTTGTCCAGGTAGGAACAGACAACATACTTTTCCCTATTTGTTTGTTTTGTGTTTTTAAGATAAGGTCTCACTCTGTAACCCAGTTTAGCCTGGAGGCAATCCTTCTGCCTCCAGCCTCTTCAGTACAAGGATTACGCATATGGACCACCATGCCCAGCTCAAGAACAAAGCATTAAAATGTTAGCTTAATTGGTATCTTGTAAATCTTTAAGGACCTCCCTTCTCCCATTTATCCTGGTCCTCACATATGTTGGGGGCAGGTTTGCCTGTCATAGTAGCTGTGTAATATGGAATCTATTGGATGAAGGTGGTGGGATGCTGCTCCCATTCAGGTCTGCACTTCTCTTTGAGTCCAAATGTGATTATGTTAACTCCTACCCATGTCCCTGATGTGGTATAGTAAAGATTGCTGCAGTTGATAAGTTCATCATCCTACACTGCACGAGCTCCCTTCTACCTCCCAGAGGCACACACATTCCCGTGATGATACAAGGTGAGCTTTGATTGGTTTGGCCTGGGGGTGGGAACCTGGATTTCTTGTTCATACGTTCTTTTGTGTTAGGTGCTGCCGAACACCCTATCCAAGGTTTAATGTTCTCCACCACTGAGATATGTGCACAGCCTCCATCCCCACATTTTGATTATTATATCAATCGTCTTAGGTAAGGTCATTGTTATTTTCTAACTTCTTTCCCTGTCGTCCATGGGCTCCAAACAGATGACTCTGATGACAGCTCATCTTGCTTGCGAGCTAGCTAGGCAGTCCTGAGCCCTTCCCAGTCACCACTAACAGCTGGACACACACGAAAAGTCCATATTTTTTTTAAAGATTTTCATTTCCCACACTACCACAAATTATGCTATCTGGTTGCTCACATTTGGGAAAATCCTGGGGGTCAGCACACCTGTGTGCACTGGATAAGTCTCTCTCTGAAAAAAAAAAAACCTTCCCAATCATATTATCTCACCTATCAGGTGGTTATCAGAGCTTTTAGAGACGATGAGAGGCACACATTGGCAGAGAGAAGGGAAGACATTTGCAACAGAGTACCAGAAGTGAGGACAGGCTCATGGGCAAAATAAGCAGGCACCAGGCATAGCCTGGTCATAGCCCAGTGCACGGCACATACTTCATGTAAAACAAATATGAATTAAGTGAAAAATGGTAGCAAAGTAATTAGTAAAAACAAAACAAAAACACTGATAAAGTCATCAGTAAAGTGTGGAGTCCAGCTACGAAAAGAGAGTGAAGGGTTTGGACCCAGGGCTAGGAGTAACTGGGAGCTATTGACAGTTCTTGAGCAGAAGAGTGGTTCAGTAAATAAAGAACTTCAGGGATTCATGGCTATGTAAGCGAGACAAAGAAGACCCTACCATTTCCTTCTGCTTTCCCCAGTTTCCTGTAACATGAGCCTAGCTGTTCCTGTTTTCCAACAAGGGAGATCTCAAAGCTAGAGGAAAAACGGTTATTGGAACTCCTCATTCAGCTTCCCAGTGAATTAGATGTTGTCTTTGCTCCACATTGCAGTGCCTGGACCTAGGGACAAGTGCCATATGTCACAGACAAGATTTTACAGGAATGGGTGAGCCACAGACTTTAAAACTGTTGGGGCTAGGAACTGTAAGTAGTAATGGCAGTTTTTATACGCAGAAACGTTTATGGCTCACGACGAGAGCTGTTTCTCTCCCTTGCAATCAGAATCACTGAAAGCACTGTCGTATCAACGGCTGGATTTCTAGAGCTATAGCAGTCCCATAGGGCCAATTTGTAAACACACAACTAATTCCAAGAGGACTCGTCTACCGGAGCCTTAAATCGTCAAGAGCTCCCTGCCCAATTGCCCCAAGCTAATAGAATTGGCATACCTTCCCGGATTTGCACTGGAACATTAGCACCGCGGGGCCAGAAGGAGATACAAACAGATGTGTACGCTGGCAGTGAAGTAAAACCTGCTCCATACAACATGGCTCCAGGTCTCCCAGCCCCAACTCACACTGATGAACTATTGGCAATAGTTACTGAAGGCTCTGGAAAAGGGACAGTCATTGTCTTCAGTTGGGTATCCACTGCTGAAGCCACCAGGCTGCAGTGGATAGCTCCAAGCTCATGGCCACACAGATGGTTCTGCTTAAATTCAGTGTGTCCTGGAACAAAACAAACAGACATGCATGTGGGAAAGGGATTCGCAAGGAAGCGCGGGGGCTGGCAGCGTGGGAGGAGAGAAAGGAAGGTGGTTGGAGAGCAATCAGAATGAATTTCATGCCTGCGAGACAAAGAACAAATTTAGTTCACGTCAAAAAAAGAATGGCTCTCCATTTGCCTGGGTGCCAGCTGTAGGTGCCGATGATCTTCCTATTCACAGCACCCCACCCCCCAGTCCTATTCACAGCACCCCACCCCCCCAGGAGATAGGGAGTTTCACCATGCCATTTTTGTTTTCAGAAAAGATGGGGGCAGGTGATGCTGTTCAAATCAGAAAGATTAGGACTAGGACCCAAGTCCCAGGTCAGAACAACCCCGAACACTGGTGTTTCCTAGTTACAGGGACTTGGCTAAGTCACTGAGCCTGTTTCCCCATGCACTGTATACTACATATGAACAAATGAATTAAAATAGTCAACCTCATTAAAATGTTCAATTAATACTAGCTATTGGGTCTTTTCATCTTTATTGAGTACATGACAGGATGAACGTGTATGTATTTAAGTTAAATGACTAGATATTTTGATGGATACATGCATAATGAAATAACTACAATTAACCTAATGAAAACATCTGTCACCTCACAATTTCTTTATTTGTTGTTGTTCCTTTTATTCTATTTTGCTTTTGCAGGTGCTCACACTTACAATGTTACTTCTTAGAAAGAGTCCACTACCCCTGGGTGCCCATGGCCCGAGGAGCTGGCAGCCGGTAGGGAGTGCTTTGGCAGATCAATACTGTTCCTTTTGTTGCCCAGATGTCGGGGCACACTGCAGGCAAAGTTGCGAATCAAGGCCTCTGCAGCCCCTCCTGAATCTCCCACTTCATAAGCGCTTTGGCGTTTACCATTTCGATGCTGGGGCTGACAGAGGTTAAAGCCGGGGTAAAGGCCTCACCAGCCCCTCCTGGCTATCAACTTATCTGGCCTCCTGGATCAACTGGTCCTACTTTTCAAGCTGGTCTGATCACTTCCTGTTTGGGCCGCGTGGAGCCTCGATGGCTAAACAAAGAAAGCCGGTGCCACAACATGGTAATCAAAAGGCTTCTTCTATTGGATTTGGGAGCTCCGTGGCCTAGGGAAATCGAAGTTTTGTTAGGGATGCCTGAGGACTATGAAGCTGCTGAGCTCAGCTCTGCCCTCCCTAGTCCAACCATCCAGAGCCATCCCTTTCGGCTGTTCCCTGGGTCTGTTTCGTGACTCTGTGCCTACCTTCAGCGTCTGGAACAGACCCCTTTGTCTCGTCACCGGTTCACAGCCCGTGCCTTAGCAGCAGCCCCTTGCCCCACCTACTGCCGCAGTCAATTGTCTCGGTTACCAGGCAACAGGGCCGGCTTTTGTGACGACAGATATCCCACAATTCCCAGCTCAAGAAAAAAAAAACCCTCCCCTTTCTCCTATCCCAGAAAGTTAATGGTCGCGGTGGGTGTTGAACTGTTTATTTAGAAAATGAGAAAGGATCTATCTTCAAGGGCTAGTGGGTCTAGATCGTTTTATTGTCCTTCTGGTTTGTAGAGCCCTTCGGGCGTGGTCCAGATCAAACAACTTCGCTTTAACAGCTGCTTTCAAAAGTGCCCAAAATTCATCAGTCTCTGTGACTCCAGGCTCTTGGAGGACCCTTGGAACTCTTGGCGATGTGTGAGAAAGGAACTCACTGGGCAAGAATGAAGAAGGAGGCACTAGTTGGAAAAAAATTTCCTCTGGGCAGCTCTGTCATTCTCTCCAAGAAATCACCGTCACCATGCTCCGGAGCACATGACCCCCGGTGAGGGGCCTGCTATTTCCTTAGGGAAAATGTCTAACACTGCCGAGAATGGACAGTCCCAAGGTTTGCAATAAAATAGACCTTCTTTGGACTGGAGTGGTTGTTAGTATCCAGGCACACCTTGGCCCCGTCCCCTTGGGCACAGTCACCCCTCGACTTATGGCAAGCAGTGCAAAGGTCCCTTTAAGAGACAAGCTCTGTCCACTCCTGCTCTCTCTCTTCTGGCTGTTCTGGCTGAGGCAAGCCAGTCTCAGCCTCTGCTTTCCCCTCCCTCTTCTCTGTCTCTCTCTTCTCTCTCTCTCTGTCTCTCAGTCCATCTGTCCCTCTCTCACTCTATCTTCCCTCCCTTTTAATAAAACTCCTTACTTGCCAGGCAGTGGTGTCACATGCCTTTAATACCAATACTCAGGAGGCAGAGACAGGCGGATCTCTGAGTTCGAGGCCGTCCTGGTCTACAGCATGAGTTCCAAGACAGTTTCTAAAGCTGCAGAGAAACTCTGTCTCCAAAAACAAAACAACAACAACAAACAAAACAAAACCCTCCATACTCAAGCTCTCTCTGCATGGTGTACTTTGTCACGACCATGATTTAGGCCTGACCCACTATGGGATGCAGTTCAAAAGTCCCTCTCACACCGTGTCTTACACTGGTGCTGCCTCAGACCAGCCCACCAAAAATGGTGATGCTTCAGCAGTTAAAGCACTTGTTCTTGCGGAAGTTCCATACAACCGCATGATGGTTCACAGCACTTGAGTTACAGGGATCTAATGCCTTCTGACCTCCAAGAGAACCAGGCACATAGGTGGTGCATGCATATACATTCAAGCAAAATACTCGTACACATAAACCATTTTAATGTGCCTTTCCAGCAAATGTCAACTGCTCAGCAGAATATTATTATCGGGAGGCCAGACTCCTACCGTGTCCAAACTGACAGAACTATTTCCCTACCTTGGCCCCTGGTAACCACTATTACCATCTCTGCTTCCATGACTTTGGCTATCTTAGAGTTCACAAGTAAGTCAGACTGCAAGAGACCATATCCCAACCACAAAACAAAATAGAGCACTATTCCCTCTCCTGGGCTGTGCGTAAATGCACGTCTTCTCATCTCCAAACTAGCTTTACCCATGACAGAGTCTTTTCTCTATCCCAGCCACCAAGATGGAGCTGCAGTATGTCTGGGTTACCTCATATTTAACTCCTTAGGAGGTGGACTAGATGGTCTCCTAGGTGGACATTTCTTGTTAGAAGGCATCTTACTTTCAGTTTAGTATGTTACAATTAACAGAATTAGAAGAAAAAAATAAGAAATAGAAGTAAAAATGTAAGAAAGGAAATCATGCCTTACATGTATGCTCTTCAAGGCTTAGGGGTACCAGTTAGCCTGCCCTCACTGACCCAGAGCTCTGTCCTTCCTCCTACCTGGTTATATTACAGACGACTACAGGTGTCTTTGTCTCTCATCCTTGTTACTCCGGGCTTCGCTGTTTTGACCCCAATGCCATCATTTTACTCTAACGTTCGTTCCCACTGGAACGTATTAAACAACTTTGGTTTCCACTGTGACCCTTTTTCCTTACTGCTTAGCGTGAGCTAGCGCGTGCTTCAAGATCATGCAGCTTGTGTGTTTATGCCTCTGGCTTATTTTGCTTTCGTGGTATCTATCAGATTCATCTGTTATCAAAAATGGCAAGATTGGCAAGGTCTTCTTCCTTTTAAAGACTGACTAATATCCCATTACACGCACGTTCTCGGATTTTTCTCTGGCCATTCATCCATCATTTGACTGAACCCTTCCCTACGAGACTTTATGGCTTACACTTTCTACAGTCACTAGACCTGGTTTCCTCCCTCAGGTTGGAGGGTTCCCAAGGAATGAGCATAAATACTTTCACTGACAATACAGATGTGTTTCCCTTATTTTCTGCACTTTCTAATGCTACGAATCATCCTTAGAACTTGGGTTTCCAAAAGGAACTTTTAGAGAACACACACACACACACACACACACAC